AAAGAGACTTCGGAACCTTCCCTGTAAAACACGTAGGGGGTCTGCTCTGATTGAGAGGAGGCGGGCAGCACCTCCCTGCTCAGTGGTCTGCACCTCAGAGCACTTAAGGACACACACGGAATTCCACTGATTCTAGGCCAGGCCTCTGGTTTTACAGAAGAGAAGCTGAGGCCCAGATGGAGGAAGGGGCTGCGGGTGGAGCCCCTGTCGCCTGAGTGCTGACAAAACTACCTGGGAGGAGAAGGTGGCCAGAGAAGAAGGGTTATTTCTGATGACTCACGGGGTTTGCTCATCTAAGGGCAGAGCAAGTGCGCGGCTCTCTCTTCCTCTGAGGCCTCAGGTGATTCCAGCCAGAATTAATAAGATACAAAAACTTTTACCTCTAAGCTACTGGTTTGAATGTAGCACAGGCTGTTGGTTACTCAAGGTCATTATTCTTTGATGGGTTATCAAAGGCCTCCGTGAAATGTGTGGGATTTTTATGAGCTTGTTTTTTTTATAGCAGCATGTTTAAAGGCCCCTCATGTACAAAGTCCTTTGAAAACTCTAACAAGGCCCCATAATCACCCGCATAATCATGAAGGTCACATTGTGCTGAAGAGCTGTTTTTTTACCAAATTAGTGGATGAACAGAACAGAATATTTTTTTAAAAAAACACAACTTTTTGGCTCTTCAGGATACACAAACAACTCTCCCCAGGGAAAGAAAATGCCTCCGTGGCAATTTACCACTCTGTAAACCTGGAGAGGTTTCCTTCCCTGGGTTTCAGACACGAGATGGACAGTCTGTGTACCAGCCTTGGTTGTGGTGAGTATTCAGAGATGTTTGCTGAGGAGACTTGCTTCAGTGTCTTTTCATTCCCGTCCCCCATTGCTCCACAGTCAACACAGGCCCCCTCCAGAGTAGGCCTGGCCCCACCGGATGTCCTTCTATAGAGATGCCTCCGCTTTCACTTGCCATCCTCAATTTTCCATCCTGCACTAACTAGGAAACTGCAAGGTTAGAAAACAATGGACCATTTCCTTCCTCTTTCTTTAAACCAAGGGGCTGAAAGAAGGACTTGTATTCATTACTCACAAGCCAGACTTGAGGATAAAGGTCATTACAGTTCAAATATAACACAAGTCAAGAGCCACAGGTCTCTGTGGGTCCCCGGTCCAGCTGAGCTCAAAACGGCACTCCTCCTCACGTTAGGGTCCTTGTCTTTACCGGAGGCTGCCTCAAGCTTCGTATTTCAGGCTGACATTTAGAATCTGGGCTTGCTGAAAAGGAGCTCAAGATATGGTCATGGGGAGGGGGAAGAATTGACACACAGCAGGTCCAGGAGGGGAAAGTTTACGCTGCTGGGTCTGTGACATGTTTTATTTCCTCTCTGTAACATCCTTTTGCTCTGGAGTGTTTTCTCGTGACGAGACAGTTTGTGGCCAGAAAACCCTCATCAGACAGGTGGTGTTGCCCCAGCACAGCAGCGTTTCCTCATCACGCCGCAGGAGAGAAGGAAACCGCCTTCCGACACCTCACACTGGGTTTTTGGTATGTGCTATTGATGAAAGAGCAGCTGTCATGCTTTATAGAAGCCACACAACTCTGTCGCACTTGTCATCCACAGGGGAGAGCCAGAAGTCACAAAGCAGCAGCAGCAGCAGCAGTGTGACTGTGGGGCTACCAAGGGAGGGTGCAAAGAGAAATCCCATCTGCAACACAGAGCAGCAACACGCCCTGCACAGCCAGCAGGCAGCGCCATCGCGGGACTTTCAGGGGCCCCACTGTTCTGCCATCGTGGGCACCTCTCGCCATAAGAATAAACAAACAAACAGTCACATTTCATGACTAAGTTGTTATAATGACAAATATATTAGTGTTATATGTCACAACCTTTCCTGTGACCTGAAAGGTTTTTTCCTTATTAATGTGTTTTAAAAGAAGTTAAAATATTTTCCTGTGGGCTTGTAAAAGCCCTGTGGGGTGTAGGCACTGTACCTCCTGTGCCCAGGTACACTGGCCCTGCCGACAGGAAGCAGTGGCTTCCTTGGTACAGTTTGGAGCAAATGCATATTTATGAGTGAGGGCAGTTTCATTACTGTCAGTGACAATGCACATTATAAATGGGTTTGGTTCATGCAATGAGAGAGATTAATCAAATGTGTGTACAAATCCACAAATCAAGAACTCACAGTTAGCAGTAGGCCTATGCAATTTACAAGGCCTTTGGCATTCCAAAGTAAATTTTGAAACTTTGGTGTGGGAACAAAATATTACTACAAAATAGTATATTGTTGAACGTTGAGGTGGTATGTGCTTGGGTCAGGATCCTGATTCCACTGCCTGTTAACTTGGACAGGCTACTTTATTCCTTGACTAACTGACTTTATTCTTCTATTCCTTCACTTCCATCTCTATATATGAGAGATAGTTACAGCTACCTCATCAGGTTACTGGGAGGATGAAATGAAGTCCTTTGTACATTTGCGAAGCACTTAGTTTGATGTCAGGACATTTCCAGCAGTGTTAGAGATGATAATTATTATCGTCATCACGAAGTGTTATATTGTGCATCAGACCGAGATACTCAGGCTTCTTCATTATTTTGCTGGACAATTATTTTGCTAATCTCAGACAGGTAATAAGTAGTTACAAAGAAGGATTTATCCAAATTAGAACTAATCAACAATATCACGGGAAGAGAAGAGTAGGAAGTGACACGAAAGGGTCAAAGGTCATTAAAATACAGATCCCAGCCACAAGAAGAGTACTTCGCAGCTGGGAGGACAAGGCTTATCTAGAACAGGCCAGGGGGGGTCAGGGGGCAGTGGGCAAGCTTGGTGAGTAGTGAGAAGAGAAAGACGCACAAGGGTGATGAGGAAGGTGTCACGGATCTTCAAAAACCTGCTCGGTAGGTGAGGACTCCTCCTGAATGTTTCCAGGAGGAGAAATTGCTTCCTATTCTTTACTCAATGGTCACCACCAAATCCTACCTAGAATGGCCAAACTTCAGTTTGGAAGAATGTCATATCAAACATATAGGCAGCAAAGGTGTTCTGGTGCTGCCCCTACCACCCCGGTAGAATTGCACTAGACAAGCATAGAACTCCTTCTCTGCGCGGTCGACTGGAAATTGCACGGAGAAAGCAGCAAAGCCAAACACCAAGGGCATCTGGCCATTCTAACAGCACCAGCAAGTATGTTAGTGTTACTTTATACAGTGCTTTTAATTTTTAAAAAGTCCTACATTTTTTAACATTAAAATTATATACTATATAAGAATCGAAACTACAGGGTCTGGCAGAAGTAACACCTGCTGGAGTGTGGTTGGTAGGATAATAATATGTAATAATTTATAGTTTTAATTTGAAAATTTCACCTAAAATGTCATACGATGTGCTTGAGTGTGATGTTGTTATGTTACAGAATTGCATGCTTATGATGTTGTAATGAAAGATTTTGTAATAAAAAAGGCATTATTTGTGCCGGGCCCCATATTTAAAGGATAAGGAAACTGAACTTGATTGATTTTTCTACTGTACCACCAAGTTTGGGGCCCTCAGGGGTGGAACTTAGATAGACTACTGCTCTGTGTCTCTGTCAAATTACCACAAAGTCCTCATGTTGGTCACTACAATAATGATGGGAATTTTTAGTATTTCTTTGGCATATATACTATTTCTCACAGTTACCTTATAAGGTGAGGCTTCTCGATTCCATTTATAGCTGAGGAAATTCAGCTTTGTCTAGGTCAGGTAATTTATTCCAAGTTTTATTTCTAATAAGTCAAGATCTTACACTAGATTTGTCTGACTTTAAAGGTCAAGTTCTTTTTTCATGCTTCTTTCTCATTAGCTATTGAGATTCGAGTAGAAATGATTCTACTTTAATCTTTAATGAATATTGGGCTATTTGATAAATAAGTACAGATTATTTTGAAAGAGTATCCAGTTACTTCAGAAACGTGTCTTTGAAAATAATCCTTGCACAAATGAGCTGAAATGTGGATTTTTCATGAATTAGGCTGAGGCACAGGAAAAACAGTATGAATCCCACCCTTATGCTTGGTCACAGTAAGATTATGGATGTGTTCTGGAGGATTTAGGTGAAGGTCAGAGCCAGACCATGTCAGCCTTTGTTTTCACTTGGCCCAGCGAGGTGAGATGAGCCTTCAGGCTGAGCCCCAGCAGGGAGCCCTCGCTGCATATAAGTTGCCTTCCCGGATTGTTTTCATGTTTCTCTGTGGGTTCCTGCGGAGGAGGACCCATCTCTGAAACACCAAGCTCTCTCAGTATGGATAGTGTTGAGAAGGACACTTCTGCCCTTTAGAGTAAGAACAAGTTGTAAGTGGTGGGAGACCAGTTGTGAATTTGTCTTTTATTCCCGGACTTCAACCTTGTTCCCATTTAAAGAATTCCTCATTCATAACGGCTTGCCTGTATGTTAAAATAGCCCCCACTTCTTGCCTTAGTAATTTTTCACATTGCCTTTGTGAACCTAAATATCATTGAAGATTGTGGGTTTGATAAACAATAAATAATAATTTTGAGAAATAAAAAATTTTTATAAACATCCTTAGTCAAGTTCAAAGTTTTAAAAGAACTCTCCATTAACTTTAAGTATATGAAAGCATCATGTTAAGAATGCAGCTGCCCATTTATTACTGTTTTGTATTAGTTAATTGGAAAACACCTAAATTACAACTAGTCACCCCCACAGTTTAGGGTTGATTAAACAGCCCATGACACTTTCTCTCATAGGCTGTTTGAGGTGTAATTATAATGACTTTCCCATTGGATCGAGTTAATTATTTCTTATTATTTCTGGTGTTCCTCTCTGCAAATGTCCTAAATGTATTCTACCATTTTAAAAGAATTTCTTACATTTCACAATGGACACACAGAAGGAGGAAAGTTTAAGCAATTGTTTGCTTTGGTTTGATTCTTTCAAAGGAATAGATAAGTCATCGTGCTAGAACAGGAGAGGAAATGACAGTTTTTATCTTTTACTCAGGTAGCCTGTATTTACGTGAGACCACAGAAAGTTCCCGACAGGATGTTATTGATTGCATTTGCCCATTTGAGGTGTGAGATGGGTCTTCCTGCCACATCACAGGGCATGCTGTTCCTTTCAATCCTGCCCGAGAACCAAATTCCAAATCTTCTGGACTCTCCCATGAAATCGTAAGTTTTTAGAATAGGTGTTTCAGGCCTCTTGAAAGATTTTCCATTAATCATCCAACTTAGCTCCCTTCTCTCTGTGCCAAGCACTAACAATAACTTCTCTTGTTGGTTGCCTTGAATAAGAGCTCAAAGGAACTAAGTGAAGATCAAATAGTCACTATAGTAACTAAAGTGCACTGAGTACTAGGCCCTTATAAGTGACTTATGTGTATTAGCTCATCTAGTCCTTACAACAGTTTTATAGGGAGGGATTGTTTTTTATCTTCATGTTCAGAGAAACCTGAGACACACTGATTTGTGATTTACCTAAGGCAGAGGTCTTCTTTCTCTTTCCTACCTTTCTACATCCCTCCCTCCTTTCATTCTTTTCCTTCTTGTCAACCACCTCTCCTCTCCTCATTTCTTACCCCCACTCTCCGTTCTTCCTCTCCCCATCCTTTCCTTTCCCTTCTCTTCTTTCTTTCCTTCCTCCCTCCCCACCCCCTCCCCCGGCCCAGTCCCCACTCTTCCTTCCTTTATCTCCCTTCCTTCTCCTCTTTCCTTTTCCCTCCCTCCCAAGTCAGAAATGTTCATCGATCCCTTCATTGTTCTGAGCAGTATTAAGGGCACTGGAGATAGCAGTGCACACAGTAGATAGCAGATGAAGTCCACGTCCTCATGAAACTTAACCCCTGTCCCATTCTGCCCCAAATTATACATCTCCCCTAAGGAGCTTTCTCAGATAAATTCCACCCAACTTCTAACTTCTAATCCACTTTGGTAATCCCAAACCCATCTTTAATTATTTAAGTAATTAAAAAGTTCAGAGGGTCATATTTTAGCTAATATGACTGCTTCAAAACCTTCCTGTGACAATAGGTCATGTCTGTCTTTAGCACCTTGATGTACAGTCTTGCCTCCTGTGAGTTATGACAGCATTTATCGTAAGTGCTAGACTATCAGTATTGCAATGACAGAGACACCTGGGATGTGAGTAGGCCCACTTCAAAAAGAGATTTTTATTTTATTTTACCTTAAGAAAGCATTACAAAAGTTGAGTTTCAACAGATGTGGTCATGAAGCTGATGGAGGATTTCCTGAATGATGTTTGCATTCGGGAGTGGAGTGTTTAACCCCTGACATGCACGAGTCATGCTAGTTTGGGACAGCAGCCTGAGGCTTGTTAAAACATTTACTTCTAAGGAGAGTTTCTAGATATTTCCATTATAATCACTTAAGCTCACTCTTTCCTCTTCAACTTTCTCATTTCTCCTCAGGTTACACTTCTCCTCATGTCAGGTGGCAGGGGGGAAGGCGTGGTTTTTATTTATTTAAAATATATGACTTAGAGACAGTACAATTGGGGATACACTTAGTGTAGGTTTACTGGGATATATTGATATGATTTCCAGTCCTTTCCGAGTCATGGCTAGTTATCCCGGTACACGCACGCCTTTCAAAAACTTCTGTTGCCCTTTGTACCAACTCACCTGACATCACAACACAGAGATTCAGGACAGAGGTTCTGTCGTGATATTAATGCATCTGATGGCCTCCGACACTGGAAGCATGTGGACTGAGGAGCAGGAACAAGGTCGAAATGCGCTACAGAGTCGAAAGCCAGTCCCTGGATAATTCTTCGAAGCCTTATAGATCATGTATGGCAGAAAGTTGATAGAGATTTTCCCAGAGTTGACAATAATCCTAAATATGCACATGACGTTACCATCAATAAAAAACACAAATTTTTACCAGCTGTGTTAGAAGAAAGACATTTATATTTCTGTCCTTTATAAAAACAATATAAATTCATAGCAAGGGTAATAAAAGAATATGCAGCCAAAATAAGTAAGAAGATAATTATAAAAATATTATCTTCTTTTAATGTTGCGATGCTTATGGTGTTTGTCAGCTTTCAAAATTTTGAATTTGTTGTAATTTTCTCATCCTCAATAAATATTTATTTTTGTACCTATAATTTGTGCTCTAGACCTCCCCAATATTATGTTTCTGTTCTTTAAAAGCCTGAATCCATCCTATCTAAAAATATTGATGTAAAATTGTGAATTGTAAATATAAATCAAAACTCTGTGTGTGTGTGTGTGTGTGTGTGTGTGTGTGTGTGTGTGTGTGTGTGTGTGTATTTGTGAAACTCGCCCATCCCGGGTCTTTCCTGAACTTAGTCATTAAGATTTTTCACTGTCAAATATAAGAGAACACTAAAATCTGAAGACAATTTCTTTCATCTCTTTATTGTTTAAAATATTTGGTGTCATTGTATCCTAGACAGTAAAATATGGTTTCCCCCCTTTTCATATTAGGATAAATTGCTAGTGCAACAAGAAAGAGTGCCAGTGTGTCAGTGGCTGTCACAGTAAAAGTTTCTTTTCCGTACAGGTCACAGGCCATTGCTGCTCCATGCATTCATTCAGGGACCCTGACTCCTTCCATCTAGTCTTCTCCACCAGTTCCTCTGCATCCAGGCAGCCAGTGCGATGAGAAGAAGGACATGGTGGGTGGATTGTGAGAGTGATCCAAGAGATGAAGTCTGAAAGTGGTATATGCTTCAAATTTGCCCACAATCCACCTGTTAAAACTCCATTTGCTTCACCCAAAAAGGCTAAGCAGTTTTGAATGTGCCGCCTCTTTGCTAAAGGAATAATAGAAGAAACAGGTGAGTAGTAGCATTTAAAAAAAGTTTTTGTGAATGGGAGTGGTCTCACCGGGGAATTGTCACAGCTCCCAAATGTATGTACGTTTAATTACGGATGCCCTTGTGCTTTGGTGAAAAGAGAATGGGACTTGAAATCACCTTCCTGGGCATGCCCAATCTTTCTGGGCATGAGTTTCAACAGTTATAAAATGAAGATGGTATCTTCATTGCATAAGTTGTTTTCAGGGTCAAATAGGAGAAAGATAACAATTTTTGTAGGCAAGTCTGCCATTCCGGCATGCCTCTACAGCAGCGAAATAGAAGAGGGAACAAAGGAATATCTAGGCAGAGGATGCCCAGTGCAGCAATACAGATGCCTGAAGCTCTAGGAAATGCCAGAGAGTCAAAATTTTCCCACCCCCCTGAGATGTGTGTGTAAGGGTGGCCTTTTGTGTTTACTGTTGTCCTAGTATGTAAAATTTGTAACTGCTACAAATGTGAATCATTACAGTCTACCTTTTCTTTCCTGTGTCTAGATGTCAAATGATTCAGCAGTCTCTGGAGTCATCTTCATGACCTTCGAGGACACATCAACCTGAGAACAGAGCAGGATTTGGGTGTTTTGACCACAGATACCATAGTGATAGGTCCCAAGGATAAAGAGCAAATTCCACTGGAAGTCAGCGTGAATGGATGCTGACGGCCAGGGTTGACGTTATGCGGTACTAGCTAGCAAGGCTCTAGCAGTCGTGTCCATTGGTGTCTGTTCTGATTGGTTGGTGCCTGCACTCCATTGCTCATTAAATATTTTGAATATTAAACTTACTGATGACTTCAAAGCCCCTCCCCTAATTTGGATGACCCCAGAAGAGATAAAGAGAAAGAAAACAGAAGAAAGCATCCTGGGCAGGTGATTCTCTCCCAAGGAAACCAGAATGAACCAGTTACTAAAGTTTGGGTCAAGCTTAAGTTGTCCAGTATCACTTTGTAAACCAATGTAAGTTCATTTACAGGTAATAAAAGAGAGCTCCAGTTTTTTTAGCATGTAAAATCATAAATACTGCAGTGTGAGTCACAGTATTCTGGCTTCACTTCTCACATCTAGGTGTCAAATGTACCCCAAAACCTCTGAAGCCATCAGGCATTAACCTCAGGAGTGGGGAGTCTAAGGGGAAAGTGTTCTGCAATTTCAGGGGGTGGGAAGAAGGGTGTAGTGATGGCGTGTTACCCCAGTGGACTTGGGGGTAGCCGGACATGGTGGAACTTTACCTTTCTTGTTTGTAGGGATTGAGAAAAATCTGTCAACAAACCTCACAACAGATGAGAAGATAAATATTATGTTTCTTTCACATGGGTTAAAATCAGGAGACCTGAATTTCAAATAGGAAAAACAATAACTGGGAGAAGAGTAAAAAAACAAAAGTGCCAGAAAGGAAACAGACTGATGTTCATAGCTTCTCACAGAGTTAATCAAAGGGGCTTAAATATTTTTTAGGAGAGGGTTATTAGCATGTTTAGGAATGACATTTTTAAAGTTTTAAGAACTATTTTGAGCCTGTATTTGAGAGCAGCAGATAAATCCATAGAGGTTTAAGGTATGGACTTTATTGAAAAGTAACTTTGCCCCTTAGAAATGTTTTATTTGCCTGGATAGACTAGGATGGGGTTATCGGATGTCTCTGGTTAGGACCCAGGAGACATGGACAGTCAGTCAATCCACAGGTATGTTCATCAGATCAAGGAGGAAGCCACACGAGAAAGCAGTGTGGACATTGTTGGACATTGGGATGGGTGATTAAACAGGGCAGTGGAGGTTATAAAAAGAAGGAAACATTTTCATCATTCTATTGGGTTCCGGACGACTTCAAGGTGGGAGGGGGAAAGTGAAGCAGCTGGGGCAGATGTGGTAAGCATCCTGGGTCAATGTCATACCAGATTGTCTTGGAATACGAATTACCTTTATTTGAAATTTAAAACAATTATAGAATTTTTCACTTCAAATAATGGATAACAAAATAGGTAAGAAAAGGACTGACATGGGGCAGGGAAAATGGTCTCAATGTTTATTTTTTATTTTAAGAATCTATATAGCTCAAAAATTCCACTGGAAGATGTTACATTGGACTAAAACAAAGTATCATTTAGTGACTAATTGTGATATTTATCACAATCTGGAAAGTGTTCAGAGAATTTGCTGCACTGAAAAGGGGCTTGTAAAAGTTACTGTTCAGTCAGTAGTATCTCAGGGGCTTGGCGTGAATGTTAAACTCAGAGGATCAGGGCCACCTCTAGGCTATACAGGGCCCTGGGGAAATATTTTTTTGCAGAGCCTCATCTATATGACCAATTTAGTTAAAAATCATAATAGTAATGGGTCCATGTGTAGTATAGTCATTTGTCAATGAAGATTTAGAATAATGGGCAAAGGAGTGATACTAATGTTCATTATGTAGTCAGTGCATGCGTAGACCCCACGCGGTGTGTAGCAGTCATCCTTCCTGTTAGGTGCGGGAACCACCTTTTTCCTTTCTTGTAAAAGGCGCACTGTTCCTGGGTAACTTAATATCTCCCATAGGAAAAAAGTAGAATATATGTTATTTGCAGTACCACAGCTCTTTAGAGTCTGCTTGTATTGAAGCTTTATGAATAGATTTTCTTACCTCTTCAGCTCTCTAAAAACCATTTCTTTAGTCCTGGCCATATTATTACTTATGGTATTTCATCCTCCTTGAGGTTCTTCTTAGGAACTTTATGAATATTATTCTCCTTATGAATATTGGCTTCCATTGACTCTTAAAGATTGTTACTGTGCTTCTTTGCTGATGACTACGAACACAATTTTTACCCAGAGTATACAAAAATATGGGACCAATCATTCATTTTTGTTCATGTTAAATTTAATGTTTGCAGGTTTATAATATAAATGTAGAATAACACGTTTTTTCAACCATGCGTGCTCTTGAATGCTTTGGGCTGTATCCAAAGACTTCACTGCATCCCTAGTGATCTCTTTCATGTTGACGATAGGAGAGGGTCCTGTGGCCCCAGTGAGAAGATTGGTCCCACTCCCACAAGAAGACCAACCTGGGAAAATGCAATGTTAATCACATTGGTCAGAGATGAGGGGAAGTGTATTGCAAGGGTCTGTGGACATGTGCATTGTGGAGTTATGGTCTCTGAAAACCGTGGAGGAGATAAGTGAGATCACTATCGAGTCCTGTCTGACATGTGACAAGTAGCAGGTGAGAGTATCATGGCCACCCCTGAGCCAGTAATGAGGGTGGGAATCACACAGGGTGACGAGAGGCCCTGCACTGAGAACATTGACAGGCCCGCAAACTCTGGACTCAAGCCCCAAAGTGGACATTGAACCCTTTGTGAGCGAGTGACCCGAAGTCTGTATGTTGGGATGTGTATGTGTATATGTGTACATGTGTGTGTGTTTTGCTCTGGTGGCCCAGTCCTCTGTGAAGAAATGCCATGCTGGCGAGTGGGAGTGACCCATTTGCCAGGCCAACCTCCTGGAGCAGGCTCTAACCACAGACCCCAGACAACCAAGAGGTGTGAGGTTAGGGGTTTCTTGGGGTGTCTGGTCAACCGTGCTTTGGGGCAGAAGGTTGTAGAGTTCCCTGAAAAGCAAAGCGTAAGTGGGAGCCAGGGCCCATGCGAGTCCAGGGCTGGGATGGAGGTGCCCAACCTGGAAGACACTACCAGCTCTGGTTGGGCCCAGGCACCCAAAGACACCTTAGAAAATGTGTGCAAGACCTTCGAAGCATAGGTGACCTCATGTGTGGATGAGCGGGGGCTGCTTGCCTAGGTCTGAGGGTGGTGTTGTATATTGTGTTACAGACTTGGGAGCACTGGGGAGTGGTCCCATGTCAAAGGCCATAACGTTGATTTGGGGTCACTTTGCAGAGCTCTGTCGGTGTGAAGTGGTGTGATTTCCCAACAGACAACAGCTGTATTTGCTCGAGAAACGTGTGCATGGGTGAACACACAAATGAGTATATATTTACACATAAATGCATGATTTATTTTATTTGATGTTTTCTAAACATGTTTAAACATATACATACATATAGATGTGTGTATAAGTGCTTCACACAAGTATCTCTTCCATGTGGTAGAAGAATTTGGCATTTACTCAAGTTGTTTCATTCATGTAACCTATTTATTGTGAAGCAATCATTTTCATGTTTTTGATTCAATGAATTATTTCAGTATGTGAAATGATGACACTACTGTGACGTGAATGCTCATTTCTCCTCTCCATAAGGGAGCTGGACAGGTGTGCTCATTTTGAAGGCTGTTTTTTTCCCACAACTATATTTTTTATGACTGATACTTTTGTGTAACTTAGAAGACTTCTTGTTAATCTGGCCCTGCTTGTCTAGTCTGACTTTTCTTTCAGTATATAGTACTTCTTGTTATATTTTCAAGAGAATACTTTATAAAGAAAAATTATTCAGCAAATGAAGGAAATGAAAACCCCAATGGATATTGTGTAAGAATAGAATTGTATCATTACCCATGAAATATTCTTTCCTATAAACAAAAAGAGGAACCAAGCTAAAAAGTATTAAGTATGTTTAAATATGCTGAGGTCTTGGAAATTTTAGCTGTAAGAACATGCATCACTGCTTATATTTAAGGGAGTATGAATTTTTCATTCTCTACATCCACTGGAATTTTGAGAAGTGGTACCAAGTAGTATATATTTTGAGCTTTGTGACCTTTGAACTCAGTGGCAATGCAAGAGTCATCTGGAAGTGTCTTGTAGGTGTGGTACCCATATCTCAAATATGAAGAGGGAAAGAATACAGGGTCAGAACGGGCTTCGTGGTGATGCGGTGGTGAATATGGGCCTTGAGGTCTAGACAGTGGTTTGGAAATTAGGGTAGTGAATGTGGCGGAGTCCTTCCCAGGTGCCCCTCAGGAGGAGACGCACATGGTCCAGCTGCAGGGAGGGTTAGTTCCTGATGGATCTCAACTGAGTCCCTCTAGGAGAACTCTTTGCCAAAGGGTATGCACCCTCCCTGGGGGAAGCCCACCTCTAATGGCTGGTCAAGGTGGGGTAGAGTGCATAGCTCCTAGACCCAATTTATGACTTCTCAGAAGGGTCATCTCAGCTCCAGAGCTTCACATGGGATCAGCTGAAACCTCAGTTTAGGAGGCATTGCGGCCCATCTTCTGTCTTTGCCCAATCCTGCGTCCCTCTCTCCCTCTCAGATCTTTCCACGAGCTTCCCACTAAGCCCCCTGCACTAAATCTTAGTGTCTCATCACCTGTTTCCAGTATGCCTGACTTAAGACAGTGTCAGTTTTTCCAGGCAGAGAGTGACACTGGGAAATAGTGAGATGCCTAGTGTGTCTAGGGGGTTGGGTTGAATGTAGAGGCAAAGGGAGGCAGAAGTTTGGAAAGAACTCACGGTAAACGGAAGGGCAGGGCTAGGGGGAGGGGAAGATGGACACTTTCCAGCATGGGGCAGTCACATGGCCAGTTTAGGTCAAATTACCCAAATTTTCTTCAGTGTGTCTCAGGAACTATATTATAATAAGAAATGTAACAGAAAGAAATTGGTATATAATGTACTGTCATTTATTCTAGATGCAAATCCCATCATCAGTGGGCCAAGTGTTTTGGATTTTTTTCAAGACATAGGAATAGATTTGAGCAGATTGTTCACATAATCAGTCTCCACATGCATTTGCAAAGTAGCTTGTGAGGGTTCAAGCCATTACCTCTTCCCTTTACAGTATTTGTTCCTATTTGTGAAAAACCTACTATGTATCAGGGATTATGTATATTATCTCTCAGCCTCATAACAACCCTGTAAGGTAGTATTCATGTCCCAGTTTTAGGGGTAGGGAAACTGAGGCTTGGCTAGGATAAGGGGCTTGCCTACTGACTAAGGGGCAGAGATGGGATTCAGGTCCAGATTTCTTTAACTCGGAAGCTCCTTCTGTCCAAGTCAGATGAGCTGGTCCCATGGGGCCCATGACCTGGGCCTCGTGCTCTTGGGCTCTGACTCACCAGGCCTAAAGTGGTAACCAAGACATGTGCTGATTAACACTTACAAGTCATCTGTTCAACTAACTGAAGCAGCTCTTCAATGGCTTAGCAATTAACCCGAGCAACCATTCCTTCTTCAATAACAACCATAATCATAGGAAGCACTTCTGTTTTTTATAATTTGCAAAGCCTTGTTTACATATCGTGTTGTTTGAGCTTCACAGCAGAGCTGCTTGTGAGTAGGACAGAGCATTATCCATCCCCACTGTACTGATGGAGGAAGTAGGATCGAGGAGTTTCATGCACTTACGTTCGCTTGGCTCCAAAGGGGCCACACCAGGCCTGAACTGGAGTGAGCCCTTGTGTGCTCCACAAAGCTCCTTTGAAGGCACTTGCTGAAGTACCTGAGAAGGAAGTGCCCCTTCATAGTTTCTTTGAACTTGGTTGAACTGAAATGCTCTGTAACTACACTGAGATTGTCTGTGAAAGATTCATCAGCCAAGAAATAAAAATGCCGCTTTCCAAGTGATTAAAAATTACCTTCAATTCCACTGTAACTTGCTGGGCAGACACCAGTGTTCTGGCACCCTTGTACTTGACTATAATTATCCCTAATTATCATTCAATTCTTGTGGATGCTTTTTACTTTGATCAAAACATGATTTTCCCCCTCATGTCATCTGGAGGGCCCTTTTTTCTAAACTTTCTAGGATTGTTGTTAAAGTTCATTGCCATGTCTCACCAACAAAAAAATTCCTGAGTTATTGAAACAAGCCCCTTGTTTTTGCTTGGGTTTTCTGTATCACTGCATACCTGGCACTATTTGCTTTTATAAACTTTAAGGATATATTTTCCCTACCTTTCTGATGTTATCAAAACAACAATGATTTCTAAGCACTGTAGTTTGTGTTGGGTTCCTGGCTTTGTAATGTACCTGGTATTTGTTAGCACCCCAGTCTTGTGGGGAAAAAGCATAGAGGTGGGCACTCTCTAACTGGGAGAAATGGGATGTGCTGGGAGCAGCTGAGAAGGGAGCGAAGGGAAGTGGAGAAAGAGGGGCGGGGTGGGGGAGGACAGAAAGGGCCTTCGTGAGAAACGTCCCTTCAGGCATTGGCGCTTCTCTGTTGAGAGAAACTTCCCTTTTTTATTTTAACTACTTGAAAGTGAATTGTGTGAAGGAAAAATGACCTCACACATTACTCTGCTTTCCATGAAGTAAAATAATCGTGGTGGAAAATATATAAGAAAAACATTTTGATTTCTCTATTTCCCTTGCTGTATGATTTTCAAGATTACTCAACACATGGACCATCCCTGCTAACGGTCTGTCCTTATTTACCTCATTTGTATTTCTCAGTGACTTTATTTAGCAGCTTGCTAAATATAATGCCCCCTCACCCTGGGTCTTCTTTTAAGCAGATAAAGGATGAGACAGGAAGTAGTGACATAATGTCTTTGGATTCAGAGGGAAGAACTGCAACCAGCTCTTTTCCTAACTTTGTTCTTGGGTACGAATAGCAGGAGACGGGCCACCCCTCCAGGGTGGAGAGAGTATCAGAGGTTCACAATTCAGCCATATAGAACAGGGGTAAGTAAACCACAGCTGAGGGTCACCTCTGCTCTGTTGTCTTTTTTCTTATATCCTTTGAGCTAAGAATGGTTATTTGCATTTTATAAGATTTTTAAAAATGAAAAAAAGAAGACTACCTCACGACACATGAAGATTATAGGACAGTCAGCTTCCGTGTCCATAAATACAGTTGTACGGAAACACAGCCACACTTGTTGTTTACATGTTATCTTTGGCTGCTTTCACGCTACACTGGAAGGGTTGACTGGTGGCAACAGAAACTCAAAAAGCCTAAAATAGTTTATGATTTGTAAATTAGAT